CTGTGGATCCTGCGGGACCAGAGCATCCGTCACACACACACACACACACACACCGGACATCACAGGACAATAATGCAGCAGAGTTTGAGTCTAGAGGAGAACAGCGCCACAGTCCAGTTTTACTCATGTTGGAGAAAAGATATTCATTTAGTTATTTTTACCAACACACACACACACACACGGCCTGCAGAAGAGCAGAGAAACATTTGACTCTGAGTGTGTGTGTGTGTGTGTGTTGGTTCACTCTCACACACACACTTTATTTCCCTCTCCATGGGGACAGAGCCGTCAGTCAATAAATGTGAATAAGTAACTTAGATATTTTGATGTAAATTGAGAAAGTAATCTGATTACGTAACTCCAGTGACTTGTAACGAGTCACACACAACACTGTTAAACACACGAGACGAGAGTGTGTCCAGAGACTGAACCTTAGTGCTCATGTTGAAGTTCCTGTAGACGGTGCGCGCGCCGTACAGAAAGGCGTCGCCGTCGTTGGTGATGCAGCCGTCCACCGCGCCCTGCGAGTCCAGGAACGCACACATGGCCTCCGCCTCGCCCGCCGCCGTCACCCACGGCACACCCAGGCAGTCCAGCAGCTGCGCACACTGGGGCATCATGGGGGATTAGTGTGTTAACTTATTAACAAAATAAAAACTAAAATCATTCAAGTTTGAATGGAAAAAACAGGGGAATTCATGATAAAACACTGATCATTTGAACTTATTTGTAATTCGACTTTAATTCTCCAGATAATATATGTGTGTATATATTATCTATCAAATAAATAAATATCCTTAAAAACATAAACAGAATATGATCTCAGTCTTGATCCGAGAACATATTAAATCAATGCAATTCTTAGAGAAAAGTGAGAAATATGATTATCTAAGATGTTCAATGGTTTATTTAATGAGTTTAATTCTTATGGACAATCTTGGTCTTTGTTTTCTGCTCAGCCAATCAGGACCAGAGGTGGGATTATGCTAATTAGCCACATGTGAGACTGGAGTTACTGACTCGTTTCAGCACATCAGATCTTTTAGGAGACAATAAGCTTTTACACTCACAAACAGCTCTACTACACACACTAATCATCTGAGTAAGCGCACACACACACACACACACACACCTCTCTGAGAACGGCCTTGAAGCGGCCTCTGCTGGTGTTTTTAGCGGCTGGTTTGGTGGCGTTCCTGGGCTTCAGGCCGCCGAATCTCATCTCGCTGCGTTTGCTCATGGTGTCGGCTTTGATTCGGGGAGCTTCTCCTTCCATCACAAACACCAGCTTCACACCCATCAGAGTGAGCGACAACACGCGGAAGAACAGATTCCTGTACGACACACACGTCATCATGCCATGAGCCACTCTCAAATCAAACCACTTAGATCGCAGTTTCCTGTAGTCGCTCTTTAAAGGTGCAGTGTGTGGTGTGTAGCGCATCTAGTGGTGAGGTTGTGAACTGCACCCAACAGAAGTTACGGTGGCCGACAGGAAGTGATGTAGCCAGTTAAACAATGAGGTTTCTTTACAAAGATAAATTAATAAGTTATGTTTACTTAATTATTCAGTAAAACGGTGAATATTATTGTGACTTGTTCATCACTGTGTCAGTGTTTTACTCGCTGACGTTAGCAGCTTCTGATGATCATGAACAACATTAATAAACACATTAAGCTTCTCATACACCACTGAACACACAGTTATGTTTATGATATTACATTTCCGTCAACAGATCCTCTAAATATTACACACTGCACCTTTAAACCGATGTGTGCGGTTTCAGTGCGTTTAATTGTGCAGCCATTTCAGACTCACCTGAGATACGGCTTTGTGACTTTACCCATCATGCCCTGCACATGCTGGGCCTCACAGACCCACAGGCTGAGATCCACGGCGAGGGTTTTCCCGGACAGACTGTAGAGCGGGACACACTGCCGGACCGGCTCCAGAATCGACCAGAGCTCAGAAACACCCATGACCTTCAGAGGACACAAACACACTCGTAACATACAAGGAATATTTCTTTGAATTTTTCGATGAATACAAGCTTTCCTGAAGCCCGAACAGTAGAGCGCTGGTGCTTGCAACACCAAGGTCATGGGTTCGATTCCCAGGGAAAGCAAGAAGTGATAGCAATGGAAATGTGTAGCTTGGAATGCAATGTAAGCCGCTTTGGATAAAAGTGTCTACCAAATGCATAAACGTAAATATATATATATATATATATATATATATATATATATATATATGTGTGTGTGTGTGTGTGTGTGTGTGTGTGTTGTTTAATATATGTTAGTGTATGTGTGTATAAGGAACACCACAGACAGTGTAATCATCATGGGAAAATCTCAAGAGTGAAACTGGGAGTTGTGAAAAATATGATACACTGACCTTTTGCCAGATGAGAGGTTCATCTATGTATCATCTTTATATCACTTTTAGGTATAAACTGTTTTAACTTTCCTTATTATTTTAATTCGTTTCTGTGTAAAGTACTTTGAATTACCATAGTCTATGAAATGTGCTATATAAATAAAATTGCCTTGCCTATACACACATACAATATGTCATCTATATCCTTATCCTATCAATCCAACATATTAAAGTACAAGTATCAACTATTCAGATGACCAACACACAATATAATGTCAACTCTGACATCCCAGCGCTAAACTTTATAAGGAGCAATTGTTACTTACATATGTTATATGTATCTTGATGTATGAAGGAGTGATGTTTATATGTTTAATCTGTTGTTTTGGAGATTTTTTTGTTGTGTAAAGCCCAAAGCCTCCAGTTTGAATATTTGAACTCGCGCCGACTCGAGCGTCTGGAATCCCGTCATCGCCTCTAACGGTCAGGAGGAGAAACACTCTGAACACTCGCGTAAATGTTATTTTAAAATGTACAATTATTTAACTTTTTTTATTTTTTATTTAAAACACATAAACATTAATTCCTTAATTAGATTGATAGCTATTAAAAAAGAGAGATAAAAAAAGAAATAATTGAATTATCAGTGATTTATTCAGGATGTGACGTCTTCAGAGACCCGTATGTGCGTGACGTGTCTCAATCCCGGAATTCAGCAGCGCAGGAACTCTCGAGCTGCGGCAGATTGATTCATCATAAACATCATACAGAGAACACAATAAATGTGAGTAATAAAGTACATTAAACTATAAAATGTTAAAGCATCAATTACACGAGCAGCAGTTTTGATCTTTGATGATTCACATGTCGTTTCATCATAATATGATGTTGTTGTGTATATGTCTAAGGTGTGTTGCTTCAGAATAAAATAATCATGCGATGTCTTTTAATCACCATTTAATTATCATTATAAACCACTATGTGCTATTTCATCTGAATTGCACTATAACGTACATGCGGTTGCAAGTGTTTTTATTTTATATATTTTTTCCTTCATAGTTATAATAGTGTTTAGCAGTCAAGTTCAAGTAGTTTAAAACTCCATTCGTTTTTGTTAATCGATGGCATTTGCTTCTGCTAAAGCCGTCAGCCCGCATTATTTCAGCTTATTTTTAATAATCTTATCTAACAACTGAATTCCCTTTGGAAAAAAACTACATTACCTATGATGCTCGTATCGAAAATTACACCAATCAGAGAGTCGGAAATAAGCAACACACTCCAAATTAGCCCCGCCCACTCCCATAACGCATTTGAATCTCCTTACGCTCTGAAAATACCTAAATATTTGTATGTATATTTTCCGATACTTGTAAAATATATGGTTAATATACAATAATCAACTGTAGTTTTATATTTTCAACATCGTTTCTAATTCGATTGTTGTTCGCGATGCTTCATGGGATTGTAGTTCTTTCCCTGAAAAAGTCTGGATTTTCAAATATTTTTTTGCTTCAAATAAAAGATTTTGGGGCTATGCTTCACTTCGTAGCTGATTTATTTATTTATTTTTTTAGTTGAAATTAATAGGGAATAAACACTAATGCACTCTATTGTGCTTTACCTTAAAATAAATATGCTTGTACACAGATGCTGTAGTGACGGTATTAGCATAGAAGAGCACAGTGGTGTGCAATGTAAGGCCGGTCTCAGTAACGCGTGTGTTTTGCAGCGTGATGGTGACTGACGTACAGCTGGCCATATTCGCCAACATGCTGGGCGTTTCGCTATTCCTGCTGGTGGTTCTGTATCACTATGTGGCTGTGAACAACCCGAAGAAACTGGAGTGAGACTGAGAGGTGAGCACACACACACACACACACACACCTGATCATGTGCGATGGGAAACTGACGCTTGCTCTTGCAGGATGTGAAAGGCCTCGGCGGAGGAGGAGAACCGGAGGAGGATCCAGCCTGTAAATCTGCGTTTTGTATGGAAATCATGGGAATAAATGGTCAAAGTGCGAGAGGATCTGTGTGTGTTTTTCTTAATGTGAATGACAACATCTGCATTTCTTTGGTAAATACACATTTTATATTTATTGCTTTCTAGAGTTCACAAAGAAGTGCATTTAATTCTCAGTATTTCACACGGAGCTTCATCAGGTTTCTCAACTGTAATGAGCAACACAATAAAATTGCCACATCATAATTCAATTACAAAACAAAGGCACACACACTTAAAAGGGTTTCCTTAGAAACAACACATGTGCAGCGTGGTGCTGTTTTAGTGTTTGTGGACGGTTAAAACAGCTGAATGCTGGGAAAGCACCACATTTCAGTCAGTATCAAACATGAGGAGCTTCTGTAGATCATCCTGTGGAGATCCTCAAGGCAAACATCTGTTGAGATCAAAGGCTTTAAGAGTTAGTGTTCATGCACACGGGAATGACCAATCAGAGCTCCGTGTGCTTTCAGGAGGAGGGGCTTCATAGAGACAGGAAGTAAACAGAGCGTTACTGACAGACTGGGAAGAGAGGAGCCGCAACAATGGAGAATATGAGGAGAATAATCAACATTCAAGCAGGAAAACCTGTTCTAGTAGAGAAACGACATCATCAAGACTTAGTAAACCTGTGTGTATGGTGTGTTACCTGTTTATCTCAAGTGTCTCCCGAGCTCTTCAGCAGAGATTTGGTGGCCAGACGCGATGACCCGTCTTTCCCAGACACTCCTAAACACAGCAGATTCAGAGTTAGATGGATCCATTAATGCTCTAATCACTGGTGGAATAACAGTCAGAAAAGTCGATATTATAATAGAAATGGAAGTTTATATAAACTCCAGACGTTGTTTTGTATCATATTGGATGCATCAGTTTTATCCAGAGGCCGGAAACTATGCAACTTTATGCAGATGCGGATGTTAATGTGAAACATTTATGCTTGTAAATCTTTTTAACGGTATAGTATTATATTTAAATGCTCAAATCGCTGAAGTTTTAAAACGTTTGATGCACTGCAACACACTGACGACTGAGAGATGAACAAATACTCCCTTTTCTACAAAATGATGTCTGGATAATCAAGTCAACCTCAGCCGCTTCAGTCCACTTGAAATATTACTAACAATACCAAAGTTATTCTTCTAAATATCAGTAAAGATTTGGCTGCAGACGGACACCAGCTGAATGTGGACGTTCATCATTTACAGGCTTATTAAAGATGATGCATTAGTCTTTATAGGGTTAGTTATCATGGCTCTGACCCGCCGGGTGTTTGTTGACGTCGGGTTTGATCAGTTTCCACACGCTCATGTTGTGTGTGTCGAGGCCCGTGAGCGGGACGACAGCGGACCGAACCGCCTTCCGCACCGGGATACGGCTGGGCCGAGGCTGCAGCTCACACCTGAAACCACAACACACACTTCAGCCGCTCTTCTAAGTGTGTGAGGAAGTAGGATATTTGAAGTAATTGTTTGAATGTTAACTATATGAAATGGATATAGGTGTGTGAGAGAGATGAGGTATACATTTATGGATATATTGTCATCAATCAAATCATAATGTACATACATACAATTATACATTCATACATACACACACACACACACGTTTTCAGCACAGTAAGTGTGAGATGACGATGTTCACCTGCTGTACTCTATAGACGTCAGGATGTCCAGAGATTCCCGCAACGGTTCCTAGAAAACAGTCCCAACAGTTTTTCAACCCATAATCCATCAGTGTTCATGAGCAGCTCCAGTAAGTGTGTCTCTACCTGTGCCGTGAACGCCGTCCTCTGATAGGACGCCTGAGAGAGGGCGGGGCCTGATCGGCCAGTCTTGCACCGCCCACCACGCATCTCATTAGTCTGGCCGGCTGGGCGGAACTCAGGGCAGCTGTTGCCTAGGCAACAAAACAGATAAGGGTTACCTCGTAAAAAAAAAAAAAAAAACATTCACGGTAACCATGGTAACAGTGGAATGTGCTGGTAACCATAGAAACTGCTCACGTGAGCTACAGTGACTTGACAATTTAGTTTTGCAAAAGTTGACGTGAGAAGGAATGATAAAGAAAGGCCAAAGGTCACAGAAGCAGTTTAAACAGAAGACGTTTATTAGAGGAAAGATGAAGCGCTCGATCAGCTCACGGAGCACAACGATACAGGATACACTTAATAAACCACGCGGGTCACAGGTTATTGCACCGCTTCTGTGCTACACATTCAGAGACGGATGAGAGGAACCATGAGAAAAAGAAATGAAGCCAGATGTGGAGAGAACAGGAACAGGAAGTGACGTCACGTGACATCATCACAGCAGAGACGAGACGTGAGCGTCGTTTCGGTTAGTTCACACACACGGTTCTGCGGACATGGTGAATGAGTGTTCTGAACCGGCAGAGAACGACTGTGGGATATCAGTCCACACACACACACACACACACACAGTCAGAATAAAGGCATTAAAGATGAAGTCCAGTGGTCACATGATGCTGGACAGACTTTACAGCTCACAAGATTATTACAAACACACACAACAAATAAAATAAGATGAAACTGTAGGAAAAAGTAGAAAACACACACACACACACACACACATAGTTGCAACAGACTCATACAACACATTCACAGACTCATTTTGTTCATATATTCACTCTCAGCGAAAGAAAGAATTAAAGTGCGTGTGTTTGGGGAATTAGAGACGTGACCCGTCAGCTTCCTCATCATCATTATCATATTTCAACCTTGCCAACAATAATTGAGAAATATTTCATGACAATCAACCACATTTTTCTCCAGCCTAAATGAGTGTAATAATGCAAACACACTCGTCTCTATATAACCGACACAGATAAGAGTATGCTGGTTGAACTGACATGAAAAAAATGCAAAAATAAAAGCTAGTGGTTATGCATATTTAAAAACAGCGCTGGTTTACCTAATATATGTGTGTGTGCTGTCTGTGTATAATTATTTTATATATATAAATACACACACATAATTTATATAATTTATAAATATAACATGAAAAACAAACACCTTTTTTTTAAAATTTAAACATGCATGTGTGTGTTTATATATACAAAATAATTAAACACTGTACAAACACACATATTAGGTAAACACTATGCGATTAATCGTTTCCCAGCACTACTTTTTAATATAATTTTGGGGTGAAATACGCTGTTATGATGATATTCAGTGCAGTTCGAGCTCATATTCCACTCAAACGTGAATGTAGAATCTCAATATCGCTAGATTCAGTCAGAATAATAAATAAAATCTCATATCTTCAGATGTAAAATTCAACAAAATAAAACCTTTTAACCTTGCTCACACACACACACACACACACTCACTCACACACACACACACACACACACACTGGGGGCCGTCACTCCGGGGCCGTCCTGCAGTCGCTCAGCTTGGCCTGTAGGGGGCGTGTGGAGAGGCTGGAGGGCTGGAGCGAGTACAGACCTGCCGTGCTGATGGAGCAGGGGCCCGGGGCCCCCACCACACCCCCGGGGGACGAAGAGGCGGAGGAAGAGGAGGAGGAGGAGGAGGAGGAGGGAGAGAGAGCGGGGCGAGCGAGGCTGGAGCGAAGAGTGAGCCGCTGGTGCTGATGATGCGGACGCCTCTTCTCCTGCGCTTTACAGTCTAAAGCGGGACACAACACAATCACAGTTACGCGCAGAGTGGTGGTACAACAGAAAAATAGCGGGAAAATGGCCGAAAATCCACAGAATAAGATATTTGATTTACACATTTAACAATAACAGCATTATATAACAATAACCATTTTCAAGCTACAACCCCCAGACTTGGGTCAGTCATTCAGACTGTTCTGACTCGGGTTGCTGCATGTTTCCTTGCTGATCGGATGTTCGTTTCTCGTTAAACGGGCGATCAAAACTACAAAAAGTCCCATTGACTTTCATTGAGGGGGTCAAGACTTTTGCACAACAAGACTTTGAAATATTTCACTAGCAAAGCTCGACCCATATCCTAGCATGACTTGTTAAACCATGCTGGCTAATTCATGCTAACAACATGCTAAATCATCAAGGCAACATGCTAACAACATGCTAAATCACGCTATCAACAATGTGCTAAATCATGCTAAAATGTTAAATCATCTTAGCAAAATGCTAACAACATGCCAAAGCATTCTAGCCATGGTAAAACATGCTAGTAACATGTTAATTTTAATGTATTAAATAAGGCAAACAACATGTTAGCAATGTGTTAAATCATAATAAAAATATGCTACCAACATGTTATGTTAGCAACATACTTTAACATACTATCCACGTGCTAATTCATGTTAGCAATGTTCTTAAACATGCTACCAATGTGTTAAATAATGCTAGCAACATGCTAATTCATGTGAAAACAAGCTAAACATGCTATAGCAATGTCTTCAATAATGCAAGCAACATGTTAAATCATGCTAATAATATGTTATAAGTCAACACTTTTTTGACTTCTTTCTTGAAACTTTCAGACAAGGCTTTGTGTCAAGCTGAGAGATGAGGCCTAAGCGACTGTGATCTGACCTCTGACGGGCCCCAGGCTCCTGTGCGGGGGCCGGTGAGCGCCGGGGCCGTGAGCGCAGGCCGAGCTGCCGAAGGTGAAGCTGGGAGAACTCTTGATCTGAGACGGAGTCTGCCGGGGTCCCTGGACATCCGAGATGCTGCGCGTCCGAGTGAGCGAGTTCTCCGAGGCGGAGATGCTCAGGCTTCTGGGAAAACACACAACGAGACTGAAACACATCCTTCAGGAGGAAGGTCTACAGGCTTTAGTGAACTACAGTGACCCTTACGCAGGTTTAGGTGGGCTGTTGTTTTTGGGGTTTCTGCGGTTGTCGGACACGAAGCCCTTGCTGTTCCTCACGTGTTTGAGGATGGAGGCCCGCAGGTTCATTAGGCTGCTGTGTTCAGACAGAACTAGCCGCGGCCACGGGTTACACTCCGCCATGTCCAGCGCTGCTATGGCAACCGCTCGCCCCACCTGTTCGTACACCTCAGGTGTGTATTTGGGCGGGAAGGCAGGGGGCGGAGGGGGCGTGGCTCTTCCGTTATCGTGACAGGCGGGTGGGATGGTGTTCACCGAACGCCCCGTGTTGTAGTTGCACTCCAGTGTGTAGCTAAAGACAGGAAACACATGCATTGGTTCAAACTCACGTCACAGCAGTTTAAAGGGATAGTTCACCCGAAACTTACAGTAAGCCCATGATTTACTCACTCTGGAGCCATCCTAGGTGTGTATGACTTTCTTCTTTCAGACGAACACAATCAGAGTTATAATAAAACATGTCCTGGCTCTTCAAAGCTTTATAATGGCAGTGAATGGCCATATTTTCAAAGTCCATCATAAAAGTGCATCTATTCATGATAAAAGTAGATGCACTTTTATGGACCTATATTAAAAATATACGGCCATAATTTTTTTTATTATAACTCAGATAGTGTTGGTCTGAAAGAAGAAAGTCATATACACCTTGGATGGCTTCAGGGTGAGTAAATCATGGGTTAATTGTCATTTTTGGGTGAACTATCCCTTTAATATTTGACGAGTCTGTACCTGTGGATCAGGCCGATGGTTTTGTGAATGGCCACACGTCCACTGCCCTCTTTCGACTGGCCGTCGCGTTTGTCGCGGGCGTACATGTTCTTCTCCGAGAAATTACAGCCCAGGAAATCAAAATGGGCGCAGTTTAGTGAGATCAGCTTCGGATACAACATGTTCTCCACCTGGAAACAGAAAAATGAACTATATTTAAAACACCGAAAATAACTGAATAAATTGAAAACATTGAAAAAACAGATTCAATTTAAAACACTTACAATCACTGATTATATTTAAAATAACTGACTAAATTTAAACACTTAAGATAACTCAATACATTTAAAACATTTAAAATAATTAATTACATTTAAAACATTTGTAATAATTAATTAAATTTAAAACACTTAAAATAACTGTATAAACTGTAACTGTATTTTTATGGCAAGAACTTTTAGGCAAAAAAATACATTAAAGTAAGATCACCCTGCTGCCATGTGTCGTTTTCGTGTCTCTCACACACACACACACACACACACACACACACACACCTGTTGACTCTCGTCCGTCAGGTTGTTGCCGTACATGAAGCATCCTCTCTTGGAGGCGTGGCCGTGCAGGTCTATATAATACGCCACTCCGCTTTCCTGGGGCGGGATCTGCTCAGAGGGGGCGGGACTTGCCACTACAGGGGCGTCGCCTCTGCTCTGCGTCGACTGGTTCTCATCGCAAGGCCCCGCCTCCTTCTCGACTCCGCCCTTCTCCCAGCTCTCCTCCAGCTGCATCGGGATTGGCCCGTCTCCTCGCTCCGCCTCGTTGCGCTGGTTGAGACAGCGCTCTAGCTCAGTGGGCGTGGTCACAGGAAAGCTGGTGTTTGATTGGTTGGAGGTTTTGAGGGCGGAGGGAGTGTTGTTGCCGAGGCGATTGTGCATGTGGTGGTAAAGCAGGAGAGATTTGGCGCCGTAGATGGAGGGGTGCAGATCTGGACTGGGGTTCACATACTGTCTGTTCAGATTCACACCGCGGGAGTCCGTCCTGCAAACACACGCAAACACTTACATTTACATTCAGTTAAAGGTGCAGTGTGTGGTGTGTAGCGCATCTAGTGGTGAGGTTGTGAACTGCACCCAACAGAAGTTACGGTGGCCGACAGGAAGTGATGTAGCCAGTTAAACAATGAGGTTTCTTTACAAAGATAAATTAATAAGTTATGTTTACTTAATTATTCAGTAAAACGGTGAATATTATTGTGACTTGTTCATCACTGTGTCAGTGTTTTACTCGCTGACGTTAGCATGAACAACAACACAGTGACCAAACGCGTTTGTCCGCTCAGGGCCACCGTAGAAACATGTCGCTGTAACCAAGCGGACCCGCGGTGTGTGTAGAGCGAAACGTCTCATTATAAGCTAATAAACACATTAAGCTCTTCATACACCACTGAACACACAGTTATGTTTATGATATTGCATTTCCGTCAACAGATCCTCTAAATATTACACACTGCACCTTTAAACCACTGATTCAATAATTGATTAATTGTTTGTAGCACAAACTAGTCATTAATGTTGAATAACCACAAGCGCTCACAGATGACCTCTGACCTGTAATGACCCCTGACGACCCCGTCGGGGTTCAGCATGGGAATGAGCTTGAAGACAAACATCCTGCGGAGCGTCTGGGCGCGCGGATCATCCCGACTCAAGATGAAGTTCAGGAAACCATTGAAGACGAAGCTAGACGGCGTCTCTCCGGGATGAACTCGGCTGCTCAGGAAAAACACCTGCAACACACACACACACACACACACACACACAGGAGAAGAGAATGAGGAGGTGTGCGGCTCTGAAGATGAAAGAGAGTCTTACGGGGTTGAACAACATGAGGGCGAGTTATTACTGACACAGTTTTCATTTTTGGGTGAACGAACCCTTTAACAAGAAATCTCCCTGTTCTGGATGTTTGCTCATAGCGCCCAGCACTAGCAGTAGCCTGTAGGAGAGTAAGTGTGTGTGATACCCGTTTGCCAGTGAAGCAGTGCGGCCTCGGCGTGCTGAGGTCCGGGAAGAGTCTGTCCAGTCGAGGCTCTCGCTCCTCCAGCAAACCGTGACACGACGAGACCGTGATCAGGTCCACCCGGTGCCCGTCCAGAGAGTGGCACAGCAGCTCGCGGTGGAAGTACACACTCTCCGCCGGACTAAAGAAAGAGAGAGAGAGAGAGAGAGAGGACCGGCGCTTTAGAAGGTACAGGGAGAATGTTTAGGAAATAACAGCAAAAAAAAGCATTTAAATGTGTTTCAAATGTATCAATGCATAAATAATGTATAAAAAGGGAAACAAAATATGCAATAAAATATAGTGTTTAATATTTAAAAATAAAAATAACACAAAATGTGCACAAAATACATAGTGTTTAATATTTTTAAAAAATGCAAATGTAAAATAAAATTTATAGTGTTTAATATTGAAAAATAAAAATGATGCAAAGAGTGCATTAAAATATATAGTGTTTAATATCTAAAAATGAAAAAAAAAATGCTAAATGTGCATTACAATACATAGTGTTTAAAATAAAAAAATGCAAATGTGTAATAAAATATATAATGTTTAATATTTACAAATTAAAATAATGCAAAACGTGCATTAAAATATATAGCGTTTAATATTTAAAAATAATGCAAATGTGCAATAAAATATATAGTGTTTAATATTTAAAAATGAAAATAATGCGAAATGTACGTTCAAATATAAATTGTTTAATATCAAAAAAATGAAAATAATGCAAATGTGCAATAAATAGTGTTTCATATTTAAAAAGGAAAAGAATGCAAAATTGGCAATGAATATATAGTGTTTAACATTTAAAAGTGGAGCGATGTGCAGTGATGATGCGTGAGGTGCAGTACCTGCAGGCCCCCAGCGTGTGTGTGTGTGTGTGTGTGTGTGTGGCGCTCAGGAACTTCTGCTCGAGCTGCAGCATCATGTCCTGACACTCGCTGTAGGAGAACGGGTAACAGAAGGAGAAGTACGTGGTGACGCCTCGCACGTCCAGCAGACGGTGGACAAACGACAGGATGAACTGACTGTCCGACATCTGCAGAGACAGTTACACATTTACACACCAAAACAATGCAAAATAAATCTGCAATCAAATACAGTGCATATTTAATGTTTAAAAATGAAAATGTGCAATAAAATATATAGTGTTGGTTCACACGCAAAATGTGCAATAAGATATCGAGAGTACACACACTCTTTATATGTAGTAATATTTACACTACTGCTGTATTACTATATACACACTTTATAGTACACACACACACACACACACACACGCACACTGAGCTATCTGCATTCAGGAGTTATTTATAACTGGATAAAAATAGCAGATTATTTTTAGACAGGAACCTGAAATGACACAGTGTGTTGAGCGAGCGAGTGTGTGTGTGTGTGTGTGTGTGAAACCTCAAACGTGGGCCGGTCCCGAACCCTCTCCCAGCGCGTCCTCACGGGCGGCGTGCGCACCAGCGGAGCCATGCCCTGCGAGTACAGCTTGCTCTGCTTGTTCATGTTCATCATGTTGATCTTCAGGAGTTTGCCCGGTGACATCCCTCGCACGCTGAAGTAGAACCACGACCTGCGGAAACACACAGCGTTCACGACCCTCGACGACAGGAAGTCACTCGCAGCACATTTAGCGGAACACGGAAACCAAAAACAAAAATGGATTCAATAATCAATGAAGCTTTGATGATGAAGACACACTTAAAAATATAATGTTTATTTAACATTTAAAAAAATATTAAAATTATGCAAAACATGAAATAAAATATACAGTGTTTATTTAACATTTAAAACAGTTTAATTATGCAAAACACGCAATAAAATATATATTTTTTATTTAAATTAAAAAAAATCTAAATTATGCAGAACGTGCAGTAAAATATATAGTGTTTATTTAACATTTTAAAAATGCAATCAAAAATATAGTTTATTTATATTACATAGTTTAGATAGTTAAATTATGCAGAACATGCAATAAAATATGTATTGTATTTGGAAGATATATGAGAGTGGAATACGTCACTGATCTTCTTCCTACCGGTTGCCGTTCTCGAACTCAGTGGCAGCGCAGTCGGGTTTGGTCCAGACGTTGAACTCGTAGTCGTGCTGCGGCTGCACTGAAGCGTTGGCCGGCAGGACACAATCAGCGCCGGACTCCACCCGCTCCACCCGCGCCAGGTTCCCGGAGTCGAAGCGCGAGCTGAACACCACATTCCCGAAGCGGAACTCCATGACCAGACGGAGGTTTAAGCAGCGCCGAGCAGCTTCATCTCCACACCTGCAGAACACACACACACACACACACACACACACCTAAACAACTGTGTACAAGAAAAACCTGACACACAGGACATCAAATACCATCATTGACCTCTGACCCTTCACATCAGCACTGACACAGCAGCAACATTTAGAATAAAGCCCTAAAGACCAAGGTCCTCACGCACACACACACACACACACACCTTCAAGCGAGACGCATCAAATCCTATATTTCCTCTGCCGTGCCGGTCTGCAGGAGAGAAGCTGGATCGTGCTGGAAAGACAAACACTGTATCAGGACTAATATAATACCCCCCACACACACACACACTCTCTCTCTCTCTCACACACACACACACACACTCTGATATGATGACAGGTGACACTCGATGTACTTCGTGAGTTTCTAACATTTCACACACAAACAAAAATGTTGTAACATTTCAGCAACATTACAGAATGACCAGCAACATTTCCACAGACTATTACATAAACACTAGCCTGTATAATAAACACTATATGTTTTATTGCATATTTTGCTTTCTTTACTTTTTAATAATAATTCCCTTTTTAAACATGAATATATATTTTAAAGCATTTTCGGCTTTCTCCATGTACCTTCTGAGCTGAATCTTGCAATTTGATTTTGCAATTTCTAGTTTCATTTTCTTTAGAGGTTTCAGAAATAAGATACTTTTCCAAAACCACAGTAATACCATGGCACTAGAAATTATGTTTTATGAGTACGCATATACCATTATTATATTGCTGGCAGTAACCCGTGATATATTAATCAAACAATAGCACAGGGTTTGCATCTGGATCCATCACTGCTCCGTTTAGGTGACATTATGTGACTCAGATATATCATAGGAACCTGTATCATTCTTGATCGCTTACTAAATCATAAACATATGATAATGTCTGCATTTCGCTGGAACGCTGATGCACATCAGCTGAGGCTAGTGTTGATTAGCATTCGCTAGCTTTCTTGCAGCTAAATAATAACAAAATCAGCACTGGTTTCTAACAAAACACATCTGTTGCTTGCAGCATAGAAAACTAAACACAAAATAATGCAAGAATGCATTTGTCATCGCTGTGTTTAGAAACAATACCTGTTTATTCCTTCCTCGTCAGCGATCACTAGGCGACTCTTTAACCCAAACAAACCCCTTGTCATCGGCTGTCTGACTCACAGGAGCAGCGCACTGTCTTCTGATTGGCTAGCGAATACAACGTAACCCAGCTGATTGGCTCACGCGATAGCTTCGAGGGGAGCGATTGGTTGGTTTGACGCCAAGGACGTAGTAAACAGGAAAAAGACGTGTCAACACACTGATCTATATAAATTAGATATTTTTTATAGATCAGTGAGTGTAAAAAACATAATAAAATGATGCTAGGATATATTAACTTTTTTTAATGCTCGTCGAGTTTGAAAATGGACGCCTATTTCCGCTACAAAAGCGAAAAAGTGTGGAGGATGCGGGCATCGATCCCGCTACCTCTCGCATGCTAAGCGAGCGCTCTACCATCTGAGCTAATCCCCCGCGTACTTCATCCGAAGCGCACTACACTAAATAAACACTACTGTGTATACTACTGGATACTAGTATGCTACTAAATGTCACACTTCCTTCTGTTTCAGAGCTCGGACCAGTTTCCGTGTAATCGGAAAATAATACTGTATAATACTAGTTATTGTTGGTTGTGTATTATAGAAAGTTCATACCGTTATTAATATTAGTATTGTGCTAAACTGAATCAAAATCAAACTAAATCAAAAGATTTAGTTCTAAAAACTGTTCTCAATATTCAAGAATAGCAGAATTCTAAACACAGCCATAACGATAACGATATAGAGAAAAGATTTCGTTGGGATCACTTTCGGAACGATTTTTTTCCAGATGTTAAACGATAAATAAGTGTTTTAAGCCAATCATAATCCACTCTAATTTAAAGGCTCGCGCATATAAAATGGCAGCCGACATTGTGGAAAAGTTAATCGCCGAGGTCCAGCATTGTACGTTTGACAAGTCAAACTCCCTTTTTTGAGAAAGAAAATGTATTCGGAAAACAATTCATACCTTCTGAATAAATGGTGAGAGGCATTAAGTGGTATCCGGCACTTAATTGTTTCGACAACATCTTGCTTCCTATGTTGCGGTGACTTAGTGTTGTTTTCATTTCACTAAATTCACTGTTAGATTATTAGATCGGTACACTAACTTCAGTCGAAACATGGCATGCTGAGGACATCTGCTGGCTAAAGAGGTGTAAATGCAACAAGAACAGCAAATAAGTTACATGTTCAATGACGTTTTCGTAAATACTTATCTTCAAAGTTATATTCTTCAGCCAGCTTATTCACAAAACAGCATTAGCCTCAAGTACCTTATTGCTTTTATAAAACGGTTACCATGCATTACAAATATTAAAATCAATAAAATATGTGTCAACGCAACTTTCACTAAAAGGCTATCTTCCGCTGAAAAAAATAGTCCCACCCTGACCGTAAAGAGCAACAGAAGTTACATTATTTCGCCATTAGATGGCGGCAAAGACTGTCTTTATGAGTGAGTGAGCGAGTGAGTGAGTGAGTGAACACGAAGCAAGACGCAACTGACAAACGACTAGCCGCGTGTCGGGGAACGGAAAACTCCGTTAAACTGTTAAAAGGCATCAAGATATCTCCGGACATTCAAACGGATATTTTATTGCGAATATAGGACTGGTGCTACATCTACTGTAAATGCAGGCACTCTCGATTCGAGTGATCTACAGGAACTATTATGTAGTTTAAGTTGCCGAGAGTGGTTGCTATGGTGTTGCGTAGTGATACATAGTTGGGTGAAGCGGTTATTCATCGTGACCAAAACACATCGACCGCTCTGAAACTAGGACTGGAAATAACCTTTTTATAAATGAATAAAACGAAATAAAAACTTTCCTTCGAGCCGGATTCGAACCAGCGACCTAAGGATTTCAGTGAATCACCGCTACAGTCCTCCGCTCTACCAACTGAGCTATCGAAGGGATTGAAAACTGTTTTAATACAATCCATTATGAATATGAGTTACACAATACACACGGCGGGTGACCTACTCGACTCTCGAGATCTTTATGTTTAGTTTATAATGACGAGGACAGTCCCTTTTTGATGAAAAGAGCAGCTTTAGCCTCTAAAGCTAATTTCCAGCTGTAGTCCCCGGCCAGTGTGTTTATATAAATCAACAAATATGTGATGACGTTTATTTGATGCTTCCATACGTTCTTTAACAAATTGTTGTATTTATACATTAAAAGAGAAGCATTTGGGCTCCAACACAATGAAAATCGAAACAAAACAGATGGAATAAGCAGACGTGAACAGCATTGGTTGATTTATTTATAAATCATTTACAAAGTAACAAATCAGCTGATCTTACAGGACACACACCAGATTCAAACTTTCAATAATGTGTTAATCTACAACAGAACTGAACCTCTGGCAAATCCCAAACAGGACAAAAGCAGAGGGTTTAGGTTTGATTAGCAATCTACCACATGAGGTTCAGTCGTGGACACAGAAACAGTGACTCGTCCAATCACACAGGGGCTCACATTAATATTCAGTGTTCAAGTAAAGAGCTCAGCCAGCAGCAGTAGTCATTAGGGATCCGTCTCTGTTCTTCACCACAGACATGTTTCATTCCGAACAAGAGGCCCATCACTGGTTTACTACACACACACACACACAGCTATTGACAACTGTGTGTGTGTGCGTGCAAAAGCAGCCTCTTTCAACTCCGTCTGGATTGGCAACTTTGTGTAAAATAAACACCAAGAAAAACATCTGCATAAAAGACAGACCTGTCAGCACAACAGATATAAAATCTCATGCAAATTGACAAAATAAAGCAAAAATAGGGAGGTGAAGAAAAGTCCGTTTAAAAGTGTGTGCATCATCACGCTCGTGACAGCAGCTCCTGCGCTCGGCTCTTGATGGCGGTCGTGGCGTCCTGCAGGTACACCCAGGTGCTGTTCGTGAACGACCTCACGTGATTCTGCAAGCAGTGCAGAGAAACCTCGCCGCTACACACACACACACACACAAAACACAGGCACGCATTACGTCAATACATGTTCAGCTAACTGTGACATTTCTGAAATGTGACCCTGGACCACAAAACCAGTCACAAGGGTCAACATACATGTATCCTTCATATGAACGCTGAATAAATAAGCTTTCCATTGATATTTAGTTTGTTCGAATATGATAATATTTGGCCGAGATGCAACTATTTGAAAATCTGGAATCTGAGGGTGCAAAAAAAAAAAATCGAAATATTTTAAAGTTGTGCATTTATGTTCTGCATCCACTCACAAAAATAAATGTTTTATATATTATTTGTGGTACAAAATATCTTGATTTTTGGCATAAAATTGATCCAGGGGTCACAAATGCATAACTCAGACGGTTTCCTCTGATAACAGAGCACTGTAAACTGGAACATGGACTCGTGCACTTCCTGTAAAGCTGCTGTGAAAAGCGCTACACAAATAGACGTGAATCGAATTGCAAAACTCATTAACATGAGACCAGAATAGGGGATCATCACTCTGATACGCAGGACTTCCGGATTCAGTGATCTTTGTGCACTGCCACTTTTCCGTTGAATCACGATCTCGCTGGCGAACTGATGACGGACTACACTAAGTTTATTTATACGGCATCCCTGGTAAATTCGTCTGATTCACTAAAGTGCCGGCAGCAAACAAACGTGCTACCTTGTTTTATTTTAGAGTTTTAATCCACTTCTTCCTTATACTCAATTCAGTCGGGAATCCATGAAAACTTACGTAGGGTTGGCGTTGTTGGTTAGATTTACAAAGTGGACCAGAGCAGTGACATATATAGCCTTTGTCTCAGGCATGTTGAACTGCGTCGGAAGTGGACATGCACAAAGTTGACAAACCCCGCCCATGAAACCCGGAAGCGTGATAATCCCCTATAAAGGGGCGGGGCCTGGGTGAGTTATTTAGGAAGAGAGGAGCCGCAACTATGGAGAATAATCAACATTCGAGCAGGAGAACCTGTTCTAGGAGAGAAACAACAACAGTGTGTGTGTGTGTGTGTGTGTGTGTGTGTTCAGTGTTGATGACTGACTTGCAGGACTCCTGTAGGCTCTTCCAGGCGTGTTGCAGAGCGGTGGACAGATACTGCAGCGCCGGGATGATGACGCGCTCATGGATGAACAGCAGAAGCTCCTTCACGTACTCGATGAACTGAAACACACTCTCCGGGGTGTTTGCATGGATCTGAGTGAGGAACGAACGCACACAGATACGGTTAAATCAAATTCCAGGATTTCAAAAGGCTAACACTCAATCTCACTTATCCAACAATATCGTTCAAACTCTAAAAGAGATAAATAGATAAGAGCGAGTGTGTACTTCTCACCCATTGGATCAGCCGTGGCCCGTTCTCCTGCAGCCACAGGAACATCTGAGCGCTCTTCTGTGCGACGACAGCCAACGCCACCTTCACCCGCTCCTTCCCGTCCTCCAGCATCGGCCCCACGGCCTCCACGCCACGCGAGTAATAATGCGGCGTGTTCTCGGCCAACCAGCTGCAAGCACACCAACACTCGTGAGTCATGTGACCCGACACCCAGACGAAATCACCGTTAATTGAGTGTAGCAGTTTAATGCAGAAACAGCGCTCTCGTTGAGGCAATGAACACTTGATTATCACATTAAATATAATAGCGTCTCTAGCTCATTCTGACCTGACGCCCTGTTGGCCGTAATGTGCCGCTTTGCTCCAGGCCTGCTGGGATACGGCGGTGACCCCTGACCTCTCCAGGTACAGCGCTGTGGTGGAGTCTGTGAACGAGCCATGTGACCTGACGTCATGCGCGATGAAGCCCGCCACGAACACCAGCGTCATCATCAGCACGCGCCACCACGGGAAGCCCTGACCGCTCATCTTCTGCTGCAGGGACTGATGGGTAAAAGGGCGACGGGACATCAACATACAACAGCAGTGTGTGTCGCGCAGGAGGAAGAGCGGAAAATAAAGCGCTTCATTTTACACACCATAATAATTATGCAGATTAGCCAGTGAATGTTTCTGTGTGTTCATGCGTGTGTGAGTGTGAATATGTGTGTGTGTGAGCGTGCGAGTGCATGTCTGTGTGTGTGTAAGAGAGTTAGTGAGTGAGTGTGTGTGAGAGAGTGTGTGTGTGTGTATGTATGTAGGTTAGGGAGACACATAATGTTTGTAATTATGTGTCTGTGTGCGAGTGTGTGTGTGCATGTCTTACATCGCATAGCGAGTTGCAGTCGTGAACGTCGGGTGTGCTGGTCTGCAGCTCATCATTGGTCACCCTGAAGGACTGGATGGTGTCCTGGAGGTTTTTCTGCAACTAAAGAGCGACACATGACGTGAGGAGCACAAGACCACGGCTGTGTGTGTGTGTGCGCTCTTACCTTCGGAGGAAGTGTTTTCCACGACTTCAGCAGGTGATTTAACAGC